TTACGTTTTTCGTCACGGTCTCTATTTACGTCCTCCGTCATGTCTCCATTTTCGTCCTCTGTCGCAACACTATCTTCATCACTGTCTCGTTTCCATCAACGACCACCACCATCCAACATCTTTAAAGGAAACCACCATCTTCAAAGAGAAAAAGAGATTAGTTTAAGAGAGAAAAGAAGAAGGTTGGATTTCCAAGAAAGAGAGAGATATAGAAAATGTGTGGTAGAAAATTTATGGGCAAATAAATCTTTTTGCATGCACTAGAAAACAAAATTGTGGCAATTGGTGAAAGCCACAAGAATTATGGCAATTTTGAAAAGTAATTTAGAAAAAATGGCAATTTTGGTAATATTCACTTTTTTAAATCGGAATACCCAAAAACTGTCTCCAGGTTTCAAGGAGATTATGAGCCAAAGGTTTGAAACTTCCACGGTTTATAAAAAAAAAAACTAATCTACGGGACAAAATTTTTTGTTAAAATTAGCATATTATTAGGGCATCTCCAATGAGAATATCTATATAAGAGTATCTAAGTATTAAAATAAACAAAAGAAATGAAAAGTTTGGAGAGAGTGAGAGAAGTTGTTTTTCATGAAGAAATCCCTTTAGAAACTCCAAAGATGAGTGTTTTTTTTAAGAGGTTGATAGTTAACTTTTTTTTATTAAAATTTAAATATATTAAACATTAAAATTATATTGTGAAAAAACTCATTGAGTTTCTAAACCATTGAGGTGCTCTTACATACCAAAGGATGGACATGTGAACGCAATAAATATCTAGTATCTAATTGGGATAGTACACACATTATTTTAATTTGTGTCTATACAAAATCTTGTTAGATCCGATTTGTAAGTTCTTTCTAATATATATATTAGTTGGGACTTGGGGGATTGTAACGGTTAAGAAGAAGATTGGACCCATAAGAGCATCCTCAATGGGGGGTGCTTAAGGAGTTCTTAAAATATAAAATTATTAAAATTWYAYWAAAAAGAAGAAAGAGAGTGTTTTTATTGGGTGTATTGGAATATAAAATTTGAGTAYAAAGAGGATAGTGGGTGTGTTTAAATATAAAATTAATAAAAGTTGAGTAAAAAGAAGAGAGAGTTGCTTAGATAAGAACTTTTGGAGAGTGTTTTTAAAATGATGAGAGAGTGTT